CCATCTATCTCCAAGGTCCAGGGCAATACTGGAATTTTGTTCCGGTTCAGGGTTTCAAGAGAACCCACACTGCATGTACCTGAGGTCTCACCCTGGCAGCTGAGACAAGCCACCCCAACCAACTTGGCGGCACATCAGTGTCAGCCTTGGCAGGATAAATCTCCCTAGATCTATCCAACGGTTGTGAAGATTCTAAACTAACACATTATTACATAGAAACACACCACAATGACATGAATCAATTATGTACTTTATTCATTTACAATAAATGTCAAAAGATACATCAATCTGATTGAAGCTAAGGGCATAACTGTCTAACAGTTCTTTTTGTACCTTGAAATTTACTCGTCTGCATTATAGCTTATAAGAGCTCTTTTTTTTTCATACAAATGAAAATCACTTTTTTCTTTTTGAGAAAGGTAAAGTATTGATATCGAAAATCACTTTATTGTTGCTGATAAGAAAATCTTATAGAAAGGATATCTTGAGTCCAATTTAGTTTCTTGGAAAAACTTTTAAAGAACTTTACATTTAAGATTATCATCATTGTCATCATCTATGCCTTGTTCCGACTGTATGGGATTAGCTACATGAATCTTATTTTGCTATTCAGTTCCATATCCATTGTTAAATTATGGGCCCTTGAATCATTTTTTTTTTCTTGAGAGAAGGTAAAGTATCATTATATTAAATATAAACAAAATGTATAGCAAGGTGATGCCCTTGAATAATTCCTTACTACAACTCATGTCCTTTTTGGTTTGCCTCTAGCTTTTCTAGCCCCTTCCACTTTCAACTCCCATTTTGGCAATCATCAAGATCTTATTCTTTTTGGGTACTACAGTGAAAGTCACACTTGAATTTTTTTTTTGCAAAGGAACTTGTCATTGTAACAGTTGATGATGGCCAGGGGCAGGAGGTGATATTAGGAGTTGGTGTCATTCCATTAATTGGATATAAGAGTTAAACTGAAGGGGTATTTTCTACATGCACATGCTACTTGTAGCACCAATAATCTTCATGGATTGTTGGGGTAAACAATTTTGTGGGGAGATGTATTTGTTCTTTTATGTTGGAACCTTGGCTTTGTCTCTGATACTTAACCTCTTCTGCGATTGTTATTGATTTGTTTTGATCAGAGTGGTTCATTGGATATTTGGCTTGAGATGAGTTGAGTGGCATGTAGTTGGATTCCAGTCATAGGATGGTTGTTTATTTTATAAGCTAATCTGGATCTCTTAAGAGTCAGGAGCTTTCACTATACAGATACATGTAGTTGGTTTCCAGTCATGGGGGAGATATTATAGGTCATGAGGAGATGTACAGACTACATGAAAACAGCAAAGAAATTGCGAAGGCAGAATTATTTCACTATACAGATTTTCCCTTAAGGTGCCCGGTTTAGCCAAACCCTCAGCTGTAGAGTTTATCTCCCTGGGAATCCAGGTTAGATTTACAGTCAAGATGTCCAAAATGTCTCTGGCCTCGGCTAGGTAATTTAGGTTAGAATAAACTTTTATTCCAGTTTATTGAGGTCTGATTAGTTATAGGTATTCTATTAGAGCTGATATTTTAGTCTTGCTCCAAGGTCTAAGGTTGTGTTATGGTGGAATGTGATTCTTAGATTGTCATTCATTGAATTATGATGGCTTGGATAGTTGCTGCTGTCTATGGCATCAGACTTCGGCTTAGGTATGAACATCTTGCTAAGATGGGAGGTTTCCTAGTTTTGTACCTCAAGCTCAGTTTGGAATTGGAAGGGGAGTACAAATACGAATATGTAGAGTACAAAACCTTGTATTTTGTATTATGTTATATTTATTTGCACTGTACATATTTGTATTTGTACTCTTTCCAAACTGAGCCTTAGCATCATTTTTACTTCAAATAAAATTTCTTATGATTCAATATAAAAGATGCTTTTTTTTATATTTTTAGATACAGTTGGTTGTAAGAAAAAAAGGTAGAGAAATAACAGAAATCAAGATTTCAAATTTATGATTGTGTTCAGCAATAGCTGTCCAGCACTTCACAATCATCAAGTAGGTCATATTTTCTATGGTATTCTTCAATGAACTTAAGTTTCTTTTGGAGGCATCATATAACCTAATGGAATTAGAGAATTTCCTTTTCAGCCAGTTACAAATTGTTTATCTTGGCTGTCATTGAACTGTTACTTTATTTGAAACTGGTAAAACCTGTATGCTTTTCCAATATATGTTAATGTAGTATCTTATGCAACTGTGATGTAAAGTTATCTATATTTACAGAAATCTGATCTTTAGTCATGAACTTGTGAGTAACTTCATGGTCACTGTTTCAGGTTTGGCGTTTGAGGACAGGCCAATGTTTGCGTCGTCTTGAACGTGCACATTCTCAGGGTGTTACAAGTCTTGTCTTCTCTCGAGATGGAAGCCAAATATTAAGCTCTTCTTTTGACAGTACTGCAAGGTTTTCTTAGAATCATGAAAATTTTTGTCCTATAACCTTTTTTGTAAAGTAACATAGACAGTAACACTCTAAGTCCACTGAAAAGCTTTGAAGTTATGTTTAGTTATTATCTTGCCTTCACTTTCTGTGGTCCTTTTCTTTTTTGCATTGAATTTTGGTATATAATTATCACTATTTCCTGCATTCTCATGGAAAACTTGAATAGATTAGTGTGTCAATTAATGCAGAATTCATGGCCTCAAGTCTGGAAAGTTGTTAAAAGAATTTCGTGGACACACATCTTATGTGAACGATGCTATCTTTACAAATGATGGAAGTCGTATTATTACTGCCTCCAGTGATTGCACTGTCAAGGTAGCTAACTTGTTGATCTGTCAAATCCTTTTTGTCCTCTAACTAACCAGATTTCTTTTGTTGTCTTCTTCTGCAACAAATGATCATCTTGTTGTGCTTATTACAGGTCTGGGACATGAAGACCACAGATTGTTTACAGACATTCAAGCCCCCTCCTCCTTTGAGGGTATGTTTTTTACTATAAAATTTGCATCTCCCTGGAGGTTGGAGTGCTTTTATTTGTTTTGCTTTCGTCATTGTTGGATTACTTTTATTTGTTCTGTGTGCTTAGCATTTTTATTTTGCTTAGCATAGTTTTTTGCAGCTAACTGTTGCACAATTTTCATCATTAGGGAGGTGATGCATCTGTCAACTCTGTTCATCTTTTCCCAAAAAATACAGATCATATCATAGTTTGTAACAAGACATCATCAATATACCTCATGACTCTCCAAGGGCAGGTAATTATTCTCTATTCATACAGGATTAAGTGTTATTAGAGTCTAATACTTGGTTTGATCATGCTTGTTTTGTGTAACACAACTCTCAAACTTATATATGAATTGCTGGTACTTTGAAAGTTTGCTTATAGTTGCAGGTGTATATGGAACTAGGTAAGTTAAGCTCTGAAACTAAGAATTTCTGTTTTTCATAGAATTAGGTTGTCTTTGGGTGAGTGGAAGAGGTAAAATCCTTGACATGAATACTGAATAATTCAGGCCTATGCCAAGGCATTTCTTGGAATAATGGTAAAACAGGTCAGCCGACTGGAATAATTGGTGTAAGGGTTTAATGATGATGATAATGTTGATGTACATGTCCTTGGTGTATGTATCCTAATTGTATACACATCTGCGTGTTGCTGTCAGACATGAGAATGAAGTCTCAGACACACTAATCTTTATGGACCCCAACATCAGATAGGTCATGTACTATCATGAGAAGGGTTTCTGGAGTAATTTTTTCACATAGAATCATAGATATGCATTGCAAATATGAGATCTTTCTAATATATGGTAAGGAGGCATGCAAATAAAATGATTTTCTAGAAGAAGATGATACATATGGGGATCCTATATATGGCATTTAGATAATAGTTAAGACAATAAACATGTCAGAATTTATTGGTACATAGTTTGAGGGAATATTGTTAATTTTTATGTTCTATTTTCTTCCGAGTACTTTACGTAAACCATTTCTTTTATTTGTATAAGAAATAATGCATCAAGGTCTTAATTTAATTTCAATCCATGGAATGGTTGGTTTCCCTGATGAGCTCTTATCTTAGAAATCTCAACCAGTCCGTTGATAATAACATTATAAAATGACTCCAGGAGAAACTGGTACTTGGACTGTTCTTTCCATCAATGTGCATCTGGCCTACTTGAGTTTACCAGATCTTCAAATGTCTATTGATATTAATATACTTGATTCTCAGTGCTCAGAGCTAAAATAGTATTCGTTAGGTTTTGTATGATTTAGTTGATTTCCCTGGTTCCTTTATATAATTGCATGGTAACTGGTAAATTTAGATTGGTGTATCATCCTAACTCTCTTTTGGTAGTGTCCGGGAAGATTTATCTAGGAGCCAGCTCCATGGAGGAGGGTGGATTCTGCCAAATACAGTGAAGTTGCATGTGGTTGGATATCAAGAAAAGTTAACACCACTTCTGATGTCAACTTTTGGTAGATATAATTAAGGCCTTAAGGGTTTGATGATTGTTCTCCCTTGGCTGAAACAAAGTGGGGGATGGATATAGGATCTGGTTCTGGGAAGAGACAACTGGTCTTGAAACATTTGATGCATGCGTTTAAGATTTTACAGGGGCTCTCATCTCAAATGAGGAGAAAATTAACGAGTACTTTCCCTTGGCAAGGCAATATGGTGATTTTGAACCTGGTTTTTGGCAGGCTATACTGGGCAGGAACTAACTGAGTTCCCCTTCTTACAAAACCTTGATAACCTTCGTATTTGCCTGAAGCACAGTCAGGGATGGAATTGTTTGGAAGGAGTGCCTGGAAGAAAGGTTCTTCAGTTAAATCCTTCTGTTTAGTTCATGCAAGAAAGATGGCTGACCAAGTAGAAGCTGATTCTTTTCGGACCTGCTTTGTTCTTATACAAGGTGCTCTAATTTGATCATCTTAACCAATAACGATGGGGGCATCCTGATCTCAAATAGATGGATGGCAATGTTTGAACCTGTTGAGAAATCAATGGGTCATTTATTTCTTTGTTGCCCAGATAGATCTGTTATATGGTAGCCCTTCTGTTTCCTCCTTGGACTGGGGGGGTGCTACCCCTTCAATGTGTTTCCTTTTGTATTCTTAGGAGCATTTTGAAGGGAAGAAAATTTTGAATTTTGTGTAACGAAACGGCTTTTATACTTGTGTATATGGGTGTAAGTACTGGACCATAATACCTGGCTACCTGTGCAGTGTGCTACTGTGTATACCTAGTATATTGGTGGACCTGTTATGTACTTGATGAAACATTGGATAGTGTATGGACACTTCAGGTGTATTCTATAGCATTAATACTTAGCTTAAACAAAACATTGGATAGTGCGTTAACAAAACTATACCATACAAAATCTGCACATATTAGACGTTTAATTAAATTTGGCAAGACATAAGTCTTGAGAAATGACATTTAGCTTAAAAACTATATACAGCAGTATGATATAAGCATATTATATGAGATATCTATACCCTTGTCTGTATCCGAGGTTGTAGGAAATGGTGAGTCATATCCCAGTTGGCTGTTTCCTGTATCAATCCTTTCAATATCTATGTCTGGACTATTCATCAAAAAAATATCTATGTCTGGACTTTGTAGCTTCTGATTGATTGGGTCTGCTTTGGAAGATTTTAATGGGTTAAAAGTGGTCTTATATTTAATCGCCTCTGTTCTGGTGTAGGTGATAATGCCATAAAGGTATTTTGTGTGTTTGAGTGCCCTTTTTTTTACATCTTTGTACTTACATATCTGAGATTCTGAATGAAGTTCCATTATCTTCTGAATGAAATATTTTTGTTACTTGTTCCCAAAATACCCTAGTAATTGCATGTAAATAATTTTGATTAAAAAATTGAGATGGTTGCTTCTTAAGGCTTGTTATTTGTAGCCAATTGTATTAGAATTATTTTCCTCTATGTAGTAGAAAGGACAGGGTCAGAAATAGTCATATGAAGGAATCTAGGAGTTGATCCTATAGTGATAGAATGAGATAAAGCTGACTAAGGCTAAGTTTGAGAGTACTTAAAAATAAATGCTTCGAATAAGCACTTATTTTGGGCCGGGACCACACCAATAAGCACTTATTTGTGTTTGGGAAATAAGCCCAAAATAGGTGCTTGTTCTGAGAATAAGCACTTATTTAAGAGGCCCAAAATTTGGGCTTATTTTTAAGTGTTTATTCAACAAGTGCTTATACTTCTTTATGGCCTATCTTGACCCGCCACGTCATTTTATAATACCTATACTACCCCTGTTTAAAATAGGTGCTTTTTCACCAAACACTTGTAAGTGCTTATTAGAATAAGCACTTGTTTTTAAGCAATTATTCAATAAGCACTTATTTTTCAAATGAGCACTCCCAAACCTAGCGTAAGATGGTTTGGTCGCATGCAGAGAAGACCATCTATGGCACCCATAAATAGAAGCGATCTCTTACAAGTTGAAGGGGGTAGAAGAACTAGGGGCAGACTGAAAAGGACATGGATTGTAGTAAGAAATGATTTAAGTGCTCATAATTTAGCAATGGATATGTATCTATCAAAAGAAAAAAATTACAACGGTATGATGCTAAACTAAATGAAATGACGAAAAAGGATTTGTATGGCCAATGCCATATAGTTGGGACAAGTCTAAGATGATAATGACCTTGCATTTAAATAAACTGTTCAGATTTCCAATCAAAACTAAACTGTTTATTTCTCATCAATTTTATATCATTGTTTTGGCAGGTTGAGGGATTTATTATTGACAAAACATGGTGGTTTTCTGAATGTTTTGGTGCAGGTAGTCAAGAGCTTCTCATCTGGTAAAAGAGAGGGTGGAGACTTTGTTGCAGCCTGTGTATCGCCGAAAGGAGAATGGATTTACTGTGTTGGGGAAGATAGGTATTAGCTTAGATGTCTTGGGATTTTTCACTTTGTATTAGCATCTTTACCACCCTTTGGTTGTCCCCACTATGTGATGCAATTTGTCAAATCTCTTATGACAACATCTGTCATGCCAACATTTCTTATTCATTTGATATTGTATTTTATATCACCTTTGCACAACTCTCATTGATTTGTCATGCTCCATTAGTATTGTTGGTTGTGTAATTATATAATCAAAATGATTCCTAGAGAAACTGAATGAGCAATATAGGGTGGTTCTGAGGCAAATGTTGATAAAATTTACAGAGCAATGAATATTCCATGTGTAGTTTCTGACTTGTCATTTTATCATTGCCTGACTTGCTGTGACCCACCTATGATATAAAATATAACCTTCAATTTCTGTCTATTTTATAGACTTGATGTAGTTAATACAACATATTTTCTGATTATAATCATTAGATTCCATTCTGAGAGCAGCAACTTTGTACAAAAAAGAAAGCCAAAGAAGATTAGGTCTGTATCCGGTTAACCCCTCCCCAGACCCCAGATATCTGGACCAACATTGCATAATGATCTTTAATCATTACATTCCATTGTTCCCCATTTGTATGGTGAATTTACAGAAGGTTTGGGCACTTTGGTTGGTCTTGACTTTACTGGCCGAGTTTGTCTTCTAAATTGCTTTGTTTCCTCTCTATAATTGTATTACCAAAAACTTTCATCTTTTTCTAGATTTTTTATGCCCTGACATTAAAGTCATTTGCTCTTTCATATTATCTTGGTCCTAGTTTGGTTCTGTAATGTTCTTACCCTTCAATGTGCCCCGTATTTCCTGTGTCATCGCTAGTTGATTGAAGGACCTATTAACATATAATTACATGTTTTCCTCTCTAATATAATTCAAGGGCCTATATATTAGAACTTGTCAAGTCACCAGTCTTTTAATTACCTTTTTTGTTTGTTATATATACATTGGTTGTTTAGTCCACCTTTCTTTTCTGTTTATCATAGTTTCAAGTAAAGTTTGTTAATGAGATCAATTGATATTATTTGCAGGAACATGTATTGCTTCAGCCACCAGTCTGGTAAACTGGAGCATCTAATGAAGGTAAGCTTGAGGATCTGATAATTTTCCTGACCTTGTAATTGTCATGAGTACTTTGTCTTTTTTGATGAATGAATACTAATCTGACTTGGAAATTCACACTTCTATGGTTTATCATTACCTAATAGGAGATTTTGTATTGAAATTGCAATGAAGCGTTAGGATCTGATAATGTCAATCCTTAGACACATGCATGCTTACATACATGGATACATGTTTCTTAAATAAGCCATTTGGATTTATCTAGATGATCCAACTTATTTCCTGTGATGTGAGAGATTATGTGGTCAATTCAAACTATCTATTAGGTAGGGGACCCTTCAGATTGGCCATTGTTCACTCCACCAGCACAAATGAGGAATCATCCTTTCTCTGTGACCCAACCACTGGTTGAAGGTCTCATCAATTATTATGGAGTCCTAAGCTCTATTTGTAATTCAGAAGATGCCCAAGGAAAAAGGGGCGTAGCTTGAACATGTGGAAATTGTTCTTTTTGGGAAGAAAAGAATGCCAGAATCTTCTAAGGCAAGCATCAATCCAGAGCATCGGCCATTGATCGGATTGAAGTCAGAGTTAGTCATTTGGTAAAAACAAAGGGTACAATCCCCCCTCCTCACCTCCTCCCCCCCAATTGACTGGATAAAGATGAACTTTGATGACTGTAGCATTGTGAACCTTGGGGCATCAGGAATAGGAGTCTTTCATAGACGTGAAGGAGATTCGATATTGGTATGCTAAAGCCATAGGGATTGGAAATTTGGTATAAGCAAAATTACAAGCCACAGTTCAAGGACTGATATTGGTTTACTACATTAGGTTTTAGAGGCAAAACGAATAGCCTTTGGTCTCTTAGACATCGTTTTCAAGAAGCTAGATTGCTAGATCATAAATTGGATCTATCATTTATTGGGTTCCCCAGTCTGCCAACTTTCTTCTGGATTCTTTAGCTCGAGGACTAAACAGGCAGAGCCTGATTTGGGTTGGTCCTCTGAATGTTATCTGGAGCAGCATTGGACTAGCCCCATGTCACAGTGTAAATATATAGTTTTTTGATAAGTGCTATAATTGTATTCTAAAGAGGGAGAGAAACCCTCAAAACTGTACAAAAGTCAATACAATTGAATCATTTATTTTATTCATGTTTATTGTTAAACTATTGACATTTGCAATCACTCGTATATAATTCATGCCCACTGGTTTTGAAAATACAATATCATCAAACCTTAAAGAAACTGTATATGTCATGGTGTAAATATGATGACATACGTAGATACTGTTTGAACTTTTTTCATCGATAAGATTTTTTTTACAAGTTACTGGTGAAAAGAAAAATATGCAAGGAGTTCCTTGATTGAAATTTGCCCTATTAATTGAGGGTGGAGGGAAACGAATAGGAGGCTCCTTTGTTTCCCTAATTATGCTGCCATGTATAAAATCTTGGTTTATTAGAATTGTTCTACTTTATTTACATATAAAAGAGCATTCCTTCTTGAGTCTACAACTGACTGAACCAAGGTTTTTAAAACCGGGCTGAACTGGGAACCGTTATGGGATCTGGTTCCCGGGTCGAACGGTCCAAATGGACGACCCACTCTGACCAAAAAATGGCCAAAAACCATTGTCCTGGTTGACGGTTCGACTGCCCGGGTCAGTGGTTCACTGACCAAATCAACGGTTTTTTGCCAAAAAGTGGTTTTGGGGTGAAACGGAACCGGTTCCTGTTTTTTCCAGTCTGAACATCCGGTCCAGTCCAGTTTTGAAAACACTGGACTGAACAATATGTCTTGTCTGGCTGATTGGTCTGGAATCTGTGCTGTGTAGTGATGTTTGGTTGACTGACTAAATCCCCAGTGAAAAGAAATCCAAAATGCATGTCTATGTATAGTGCAAATATGCTTATATGCATACTGAGTTGGGCAGAACTTTGTGCGACTAAGATGTGTGGATGTTAATTCCTTTGCCAATGCATGATAAGTGTGCAAATTTGACATTGCAAAATATGTGCTAACTTCAATGATTGTATCTTTCATTGTTTTCTGATTGTCGACAGGTACATGAAAAAGATGTCATTGGTGTCACTCACCATCCTCACCGGAATGTGGTGGTTACATACGGTGAAGACTGCACAATGAAGATTTGGAAACCGTGAATTTTGTTTCCATCGGATTTCCCCACCCTCTTTGCAAAACGAGCTTTAAGCTATTTTGTACTATTTCTCATTGGCATCATAGTACGGCTCTCTTTATGAATGAAGAGTTGACTGTAATTCTTTTTGTTTTGAAACCCAAGGAAGTGTATTTATATGGCTACTGAATTTGTAAAAAATGTAACATCCAAAAAGGGGAAAAAAAGAACTTTGTAGGGAATGAGAGTCAAACGAACGAGCTGCCTGTAAGAGAAATAAAATTAGAAACAGAACGCAATACAAACAAAATTCCATGCAAACCTGTAGGAATGCAACCTGGGTTGGGCCAAAAAGAATGCAAACTAAAGGGGTTGGACTTTGAAGATTGGGCTAGGATTATAGGATTAGAAAATGCAGTTGGTTATCTCGGGAAATCGTATCCAACACGAACCTAGCCGATTTTATTTTTATACATCATGTATTTATGATACATGGTCCTGATTTTATTTATTTATTTATCAGTTGATGTGATAGCCTGATAGGGGGAGGAGAAAGAGTTGTATTAAGTATTTAAATATTGAAGTATAATTGATGATTGAGAACCTTGTGTTGGGTTTGGAAGACCTCAACCCATGCCAACCAGGCCTATGTTGCCACCCTAGAAGCTAAAATCCTGCAATCAACTGGAGAAGTCCAAACTAGATGATTGATGAGTGAATTTATTACATCCATGGCTGTCAGCTGCAATTGGGTATGTTGTTCTGATGTCAAATGCTAAATCTCATCATCTCATGGCGCTTTGAATGAAAGCGTTAACACTCTCAAGGTCGAACCTAGTGCTAATGGGGCTGTGCCTTGTGGGATCCATTGGATCAGTCCACTAGATGTCAATACAAGATGACGGTTGTTCAACAGGGTTAGCAAAAGATGATCCCATGATGGTCCAATCAGTGGATTGGCACCATGTATGCGGGTTGGTCCACATTCATTGCCACTATGGGGCATATTAATTAGTCCAATACTACAATGTTGATCAGTTGATGGACACGGAACTGTATCAGCCTAAGCAGGAGTGCGACAACTTGTGTACATCATATTGGAATTTAGCTAGTGGTGTCTACTCAAGTTTAAGGTCCCCACTCACTTTTGCTACCTGGGCTGCTGGCTTCTGCATTTGTTTTTGTTTCTCCATAAAATGGATGTTAAAAAAATTTTAGACTGAAATATTTTGTATTTCAGCAAATAAACCCGTCTTCTTTATATGGAAAACTTATTATATATATTTTCTTTTCCTTTTTGCCCAAACAAAATTTCACATAGCCCAAATATTTCGGCATGAGAAGTTTTCCGTCCATTGGCTAGCTTATTAGAACAATTGAAAAACCAAAAAGCGTATTACATAATAACATAAAAAAGCCAAGCAGGTCGTTACAAAAGATACAGATTGGTCATTGGTGCAACTGAACTGACCCACTTCGCGCTCTCTCTCTCTCTCTCTCTCTCTCTCTCTTGTTCGAGTAGAAAAAGTGAAACACAAAAATATCTTAGAGAGTTGGGATAGAATGGAACCTGTACATTATCAGAGTTTCCTAGCATTCTCCCACTTTTCTAGATATCGAAGTAAATTGGGAAGGAGAGATGCACCTCTTAAATTAGTAGATCTTATCCAACCAAACGCAGCAAAGAAATGGGAGGATTCCTTAGCTGATCCACGAGAAGAATCTCCTACCTTCTCTCTCTTCTTAATCTTAAATTGTTATTTGCCGCCAAGCTCGCAACCTTCCTTCCATGGCCGTCCGATGCTCATTGCAAATTGGCGGGTCCCTCTAATTGTGACCGCACCGTTGCTGCTCCAAGAGCCAAAAAACAAGATGAGAGAGTCTTCCTTCTCGGCATTTCTCCTCTCATCCACACCTTCGGAATTAACTTTGAGTCCATGCAAAGCGATTTCGATTCCAGATGGGTTGTTGGTTTATGACTATTTCCCGCATTCTTGAATCGAAACCTGTATGATTCCTCGAAGTCGAAGCATTCTGATCTGGATTGTTGTAATTGTTGTTCTTGGTGGTGTCCTTGTGTTCCTTCTTGAAGGGGCGGGTGATCTTGTCTTCTGGGTCTGAAGTGGGTTAGTCTTAGAGATGTTAGCTTCTGGTATGAACTTGATCACAACTGTGATCGGGTTTGGGATGAGCGCGACGTTTATTGTGTTTGTCTGCACAAGACTAATATGCGGGAGGATCCGCACAGTTGAGTCCCGCCCGGTATTCGAGATGGACTCCAGGGCTGATGTTGAGCAGGTATGCTTGATTCTGAATATTGGATTTGGCTGTTTTCTCTTATGATTCATGGTCTATGATCCCTGATCAGGTTATCCCCATTTATTATCTCTAAAATTTTAAACTGAAGTTCTAACCTATATGCTTTACTGAGTTCTGTTTGAGCGGGTTTGGTTTGATATATGGGTTCTGTTGTGTTGCCCTTTTTTATGCATCACTTTTTCAGGAGAAATTTGTTTTTTTTTTGTTTATTAATATTTAGAGAATCATGTTTCTTTGCTTTTTTGTTCTACATTTTTTGCAACTTTTCTTGCTTCAGATAAATTTATAGAAAATCATATACATTTTTCTTAGAAATGTCATAAGATTATATATATATATATATATATATATATATATATTTGTATATAAAAACTGAAAGCCTGAAAGAACCGGAAGATTCATTTTACCATTATTTCAATCTGTATCCTGTTGTTCAAGTAGTTGCTACGCCCTATCTTACCACTTGCCTAAAGCAGTGGATGCTGTAATCACATTCAACATCGAACTGAATTAATCACACATAATGCTCTTAACCCAATATTGATGAAAAAAAACTTAAAAGAATGACTTTAAATAGGTTTTAAATAATCTAAATAAAGCTTCAATTTAATAATGGGTAATGTAAATGGAAAGAAACTTAAAGGTACTGAAACTGGTCACAATGAGCTTAATTTAAATAACATGAATCAGTGAAATTCTAAAATTGACAAATCATTTACTAACTGATTGTTTTCCTTGATAAAAGGTTTCACTGGTAAGTTTTAAATCAAAACCCTTGAGATTGACAAATGATTAATCCTATCAGAATCATAAGATTTTGATGACATTGTTAAAACACATCCTTTGCATGTCCAGCATGTCTGGAGATATGGATGTGAACAACCAATGTAACTAGGACTGCTTTTGCATGATGCATGACCTTAAACACAAATGAGGCTGAGAATATAAAAAGAATTGTGGTTCAAACTCAATGGTGGTTGTTTGGTTATGAGGTTTGTGTTGCTTACTAAAGGGACATGACCTGTAATTTCCCGTGCAAGTGATTTTTATTTGACATTCTGTGTGGCTATGGAGATTGATTGACAAGTAGTGAAAAACTTGTTTTCCTAACTAAACAGATGCACGGTGCTTCTGCCATTTAAATATGTGTGCATTCCACTAGTGATCTTACTTTAAAGTCATGGGCAATATGTAATTTTTTTTCCTTTTTCATAGATAGGCAATTTGTAGTTAGGACAAACATTCCACCAACTTCCAGGGATTGCTTCCTCATCTTTGTAATTATGTGCCTTTTCTACATGGCAAATTATTATGAAATCAACTGTTTCCCATATCTGGTATGAAACTGTTATCTGTTATGTCAAAAGGTTTTTGTACAACAATAGGTGAGGTATTACCCTTGTTACTATCAGAATTCAGAAATGTGGCAGGGTTGGTAGACTGGAACCTTATTTTATTTCCATCATTCTACTATAATTTTAGAATCTCTGATTCTTATGGTTTTAAATCGTTTGGAATTTGTTGACAGCCAGAACATAGGACTAGTGGGCTTGAACCAGTTGTGGTTGCTGCAATCCCCACAATGAAGTTTAGCAGGGAGGCTTTCAGTTCTATTGAAGATGCACAGTAAGTTTTGATCCTTTATTATCTGGAAATATTCCTTCTCTCTCTCTCTCTCTCTCAGACATACACGTATACTCACACATTCACAAGATGACTCCAGATCTGCTGCTTGCAAGGATCTGTGTATGGGCTATATCCAATCATGGGTGAACACATCAGTGTTTTCTACACATGGGACCCCATCTAGGTGTACAGAACACTGGTGTATTCACTCATGATTGGTTATGTGGACTGTTATACACAGCCTTGCAAGCAGCAGATCCCAACGCTCACAAGACCATTTAGTGAATGGTAATATGATCCCATGCGGGAAATTTTTGTGGGGCCTGATGTAGGGAGACCTTGATCCTTTCTTACGTATACTTTAGACAATTTTAAGGAGCCTCAAGGCAAGTAACGGCAGGGAAACGTACATTTTTATTTTGTCATGTACAACACTGAGGTTTGCAACCCAATTAAAAATTTCTATTATGGTTGGTAACCTAAATTTTACAGTTACTAGTTAGCATACATGTAGGTCTTCAGTGACCCCATATAGTTGTGACAAGGCTTAGTTGAGTCGAGCTCCTGTTAATAATAACTCATGAAGAGGTACTATACTTTGGTGCCTGCAATTTTGTCTTTTATATTTGTAGTTATAGTTAGGATATTAAGATTTTATTATGTTTATGTTACTGCAGGTGTTCAATATGTTTGTCTGAGTATGAAGAGAAAGAAATATTGCGAATTATGCCCAACTGTAGCCACAATTTTCATTTAGCCTGCATTGACCAGTGGCTACAAAAACAATCAACCTGCCCAATTTGCCGCTTTCCTTTAAAAGAATCCTTTGAGAGAAAATGTGTGGGATCACCGACACTCACTATGCTCCGTTGGTCAATGGATAGTCCTCAGGTTGTGAATGACCAATCTCACCAATGGTTGCTACCTGATAGTGAGCATCCATTAGAAAATGGAGGTAACCAAGACAATCATGAATCAACAACCAGAAACCTAGAATCTGCTCCTATTACAGAATCAGAAACAAGGAGATAGCAAAAGCAAGGAGATTAGTGGATTTCAGAGAATATATTATTCCTTGGCTTCTTGGAGGCAATGAATGCATATAAAGAAATCCAACATGCAACTGAAATTTCCCTGAATTCTGATCTATTGGTGAATTGTTGTAATTACAAAATGTATCTGGGTCTTGAGATGTTGAAAATTTCCATGAAAATAAATTTGCAGTTGACATTTCTTACGTCTCATTGGTACTGAATTCCCCACAATCTCTTACAATTAACTTTTTGGGTTACTTGAATACCAGATAAGTAGTTGCCTCATGCCTGCTAAAGGGACTGGGTATATAATTATATATTATAAGTAGGGATTCTTTTGAATGTTTTGCGGTAATTTGCATTGTTAACAAAAAAAAAAAAGGAAGAAAAGAAAAAACGTGGTATTTGGCACTGAAGGATGAGTTTACATATGAATTGCTCACAAATCATTTTTGTGCTTACCAATAAATACCGCAAGTTATTTTACCAGAAATCCTTGCACGAACATGAACCCTCTCTGAAATGATGAAAGCGACTCCTGTCCCTTGCTATTATCTCCCGATTAAATGCCTTGGAGATGACCTTCACAAAAGAATGGCAATCCTTGCAAACCCGTAGGTTCTTCACAATCCGAATTGGTGAACCAGGGGTAGTGTTTATTAAGCCAAAAGCAATAGCCAGCTTTTCACTGTGTAAGAAGAGAGAATTTTCTTTCTCTTCCTCTTCTATATCAAACAAGACCTCCGTGGTGCTCGGGACATGGCTACCAACCAACTTGACCCTCTGACACATCTCTTCCACCATCATATATATCTCCCTAGTTTGATGGTGTGACCTATCACCTGCAACAAACTGATGAATCATACCATTCATCTCAATCCAACTGCAGCCTGGGGTTTTCTCTATCCCTTTCAATGTCATCTGGTTCCTTATTTTCAGCGCAGCATCCCATTGGTGAAAACCAGCATAGAGATTTGATAACTGCACATAACGTCCACAAGAATCAGGTTCTAATTCGATTATGCGCTTACCCACTTTGTCTGCAAGCTCAAAGTGCCTTGCACTTCTACAAGCGCCAAGAAGAGTAGCCCACAAGGCTGCACTAGCCTTGATGGGCATATCCTCTATGAAGGACAAAGCATCGCTGACGAGCCCAGCCCTACATAACAAATCAACCATACATCCATAGTGTTCCATCCTTGGTTGAATGTGATAGACCTCTTTCATTGATTTGAAGATCTTAATGCCCTCATCGACCAATCCTGCATGGCTGCATGCACATAACAATCCAATGAAGGTCACGTCATCAGGCATTACCACCCCTTCATGCTTCATCTGCTGGAAAAGCGCCATCGCCTGAAGGCCATGACCATGCATTGCCAGCCCTCCGATCATTGTGTTCCATGTGAATACATTTCTTACTCTCATATTGTTGAATACCTGGAGGGCAAAATCTATGCTCCCGCACTTGGCGTACATGTCAACAAGGGCTGTATCGAGAATGATGTCATGGTCTATTCTGTACTTGTCAATTAAGATATGGATATACTTGCCTTGGTCCAGTGCACCTGTCTGAGCACAAGCTGATAGCACGCTCACGAGTGTCACCCCATCTGGTCGGATCTTCTCTGACTGCATCTGCCCGAAGAAAACCAGCGACTCTTGGAAACAACCTGAGGTCGTTAACCCAGAGAGCATGCTAGTCCATGTCAGCACATCCCTCTCGGGCATCCTATCAAAGAGCTCTCGTGCAGAATCCAAATCCCCACATTTGCAGTACATATCAAGGATTGCATTCCCCACTCGAAGGTTCTTCTCCAGGTCGAGTTCTTTTGTGTAAGAATGGAGTAATCTTCCTTGTTCCAAGTTATCTGATTTGGCACAAGCTGAAAGCAAACTGAGAAATGTCACAGCATCTGGTTGAACATTATCTGATTTCATTAGCTCTTCAAACCAAGTAAAAGCCTGCTCATAAAAGCCTCTTTCGATATACGCCCCGATCATGACATTCCATGTCACAACATCTCGTAGAGGATTCCCATCAAACAACCTCCGAGCGGCATCGGAATAACCACAGTTAGCGTACATCTGAATCAAAGAATTGAGCACAAACACATCGGATTCGAGTCCAACCTTCACAATCTCACCGTGAAATCTCCTACCCAATTCGGGTGCCAACGAGCGAGCACAGGCTGTTAAGACAAAAGGGTAGGTGAAGTTATCGGCTGCAACACCAAAGCGAATCATGAAGTAGAAAAAAGAGATCGCCTCAGATGGATTGCCATTCCTGGAGTAGCCTCTGATCATGGTGTTCCAGATGAACATATCTGGGTTTCCAATCTGGGTGAAGATTTTGTGGGCGTAATTTAGATCCCCCATTTCGGATATTGCAAGGAAGGATATGAGCTTGCTTACGACGCGATTTTCAGCGAAGAGATGGTTACGGAGGAGAAATGCGTGAGCTTGCTTGGTTTTCTTGATGCTAGTACAGTGGTTCTTGAGCCAGTCCGTGGACATATGTTTAATCCATTTCGAGCAGGAAGAAACCATCATCCCGAAAGAACCTTCATCTCAGTCCGAATTCAGAAGAACTCATCATCAGTCCGTCGACATACGGAAATTTAAATTTTCAAAAGAACCCAGTCAAAACGGCTACATAAATTCAAGGGTATATATGTCATCTTACATTAACAACACTCGGTCATATAATTTCAACTTGGCACACTACCGAACATCATGAGAGAAATCCTGCCATGGATAATTCAGATTCCTTCTATGCCCCTGAATGTAGGATTAAATACCTGCATTGACCTTACAGAAAACATAAAAGAGAGACCAATAAGTTCGAGACCATACGGACGCCTCCACCGACTGGATTGGTTTTAAGCGGGGGAGGGAGAGATAATGCTGTCGCACGTAGGAGTCCGTTCGCTCTCCTGCTGTTTCCCTTCACCTCGTCTTCATCGTTTATCCCTCACCAAACGCAACCTCCGTAAACCTTTTATCAGTAAGCAACAATGAACCTCACAATTCTCTCTCTCTCTCTCCCTCTCTCCTTTTCTTCAAGTACTTGGACTAACTGTTGCCCGAAATGAAACCAATTTATGGGTCTTAGGAAATTATGACTTGATAATTGTTCATATTTTAGAAGAGCTTTTAATTTGAACAATATTTGATGATATATTCGCGTTTGGATTTAATTCGACAGTGGCAGCGTTAAGTGATGATCCAATCAGTGAGTGGATTCTTACGGAAGGAAAGGCGACGCAGATTACAAGAATCAGTCCAATCGGTGGTGGTTGCATCAATCGCGCAAATCGATATGACACTGATGCTGGTCCCTTTTTTGTCAAGTCAAACAGGTATAAGCTTAAAATGGTCTTCTGAGGAATTGACAGTCATATTCAATTTCCCACCAATATGCTTCTGATTTGTGCATTTTCCTTTGGTGGTTTTTAGAATCTAGCTAGAAGCAGACTAGCGTGACAGGAACCTAAAATCGAACTCCTTCAACATTATTTGTTCTATGCTAGTTCTCATTTCGATACCTAACATACCATAAAATGCTTCTTCTACTAATTTTCCCGTGTGCATATTGGCTTTGATGATTTATGTGGAACAACAGCTTAAGTAAATTTTGATTTTTGGCGCAATTCTGTGGCATACCACTTTGCATTGAGTAGCAGTAGATAGCAGGTGCCATTAATGTAATTTCAGGGTCTGTACCTGTGACCTAAACATTATTTTCTCTCGTTTGGCTTTTTTAGCATCAAGATATGCCCTATTTGAAGGAACGCTAAAACTTCTATCTTCTGTAATTATGATTCAGGAGTATTGGACCATCAATGTTTGAAGGAGAGTCTCTTGGTTTAAGTGCTATGTACGAGACTAAATCAATCCGTGTGCCAAAGCCATTTAAGGTGGCAAGCTCGGTTAACTGGTTAAATATAATTAAAGCTAGATTAGTAGCTTGTTACATGCTTTCACTTCTCTTTTTGATTTTAACTTATGTAACCTTATATAGGATAAAAGTGAATTTTGTTGAATTTGTAGGTTGGGCCATTACCATCAGGTGGATCTTATATTATCATGGAGTTCATTGAGTTTGGTTCATCTAGAGGTGATCAGGTGAGACTGGTGATTTGTGCTTCTAATATTGGTAGGAATGAGTTGGTATCTTATTTATTTTATAATTATCTATTCTCAGTCAGTCCTAGGAAGGAAGCTTGCTGAAATGCATAAAGCTGGCAAATCAAACAAGGGCTTTGGTTTTGATGTCAACAATACCATAGGCAGGTGACATTTTTTGGTCGATGTTGACCTGTTCTTTCTCCATTTCTGTACTAAATATAGGCATTTAATCCATATTCCATTCTTTGTTAGGTTCATTCTGAGGAAGAGAATTAATTATATTAATTTGATGTTGTTATGGGCTCTATATTTGTTGTACCGGATGTAATCTTATGCACTTCGCTGAAGTCTAATGGACTTATATACGTTTCTACAGTACTCCACAGATAAACACTTGGTCATCAGATTGGGTTCAATTTTATGCAGAGCATAGATTGGGATATCAACTGAAGTTGGCAAAGGATCAATTTGGTGATTCCACCATTTATGAGAAAGGTAATCTAATTCTCAAAGCAATAATATGCTTTTAAAATGATTTTGGTACCATATTTTTGTAAGAATTACTTGTATTCACATTGATGAAAATTGATCGAAGAAAAAAATCATAAGAAGGAATATATATACTTTTGGTATTAAAGAAATTTGGCTACATACAAAGGGGGTAGCCACCCCCACTGGTCTACGAAATAAATATAGACAAGCTCATTAAAATGGACATTATCACTATGGAGAGGATATTTCTGCCTATAATTAACAATCAAGTCAGCTGCATGCTTCTTTGTGAATTTTACTCTAAAACTATATATGCCAGAGTCAGATCGAAAAATTGAGAAAGAGAAAGAGAGAGACAACACAACTGAATGGTGGGTGTGACAACTTGTGTCAGTCGACACCCTAAAAGAAATATTTATATTAAGTTGTAAAAGGACAGATCTTCCCTTAATATACATGAGAGATATAATACAAAGAGAGATATACAGAAAAGAAAAGTAAAAGTACAAAAATAGCCCTACGGCTAGATTTCACTGGCTCTACACTCCCCCCTTAAACTGATGCCTAGGAATAAGCATCAGTTTGTCCATGAGAAATAGATGCCGAGCCTGTGTCATTGCTTTAGTTAACAAGTCTGCCAGTTGGAGCCCGGAGGAGACATGAGGAAGAGATATGGTACCCTTAAGAAGGAGATTGCGAATGAAGTGGCAATCAACTTCTATGTGTTTGGTGCGCTCATGGAAGATGGGATTGGATGCAATTTTGATTGCACTGATGTTGTCTGCATAAAGAGGAATAGACAATGGTGTCTCACTTAGTATTTCAAATAAAAGAGCCCGAAGCCATATGATCTCACTACACACGGAAGACATAGCCTTGTATTCAACTTCAGTGGAAGATTTGGACACAGTAGCTTGTTGCTTGCACTTCCATGAGATAAGGGAGTTGCCTAGGAAGACACACCAGCCAGTTGTAGACCGTCGGGTGTCAGGGCATCTAGCCCAATCATCATCTGCATAGGCCATAAGATGAATGGGAGATGATGAGGAGAAGAATATCCCATGTGATAGTGTGCCCCGTACATATCTTATAATCCAATGAATTGTAGATAAATGTGGTTATCTCGGAGAAGACACAAACTGACGTACTATCTGAACTGCATGAGATATGTCCAGCCGAGTCATGGTGAGATAGATTAAACTGCCCACTAGCTGACGATAAAGGGTAGGATCTTCAAGGGGAGACCCATCATCTTTGTTGAGTTTCAAATTCAGTTCTAGTGGAGTGTCCACAATCTTAGAATCACTAAGATTTTCCAGTTTAACCAGATCAGCTGCATACTTCTGTTGATTAATAAAGTAGCCTCGAGAATTTCTACTCACCTCAAGGCCCAAGAAATATGTCAACGGTCCCAAGTCCTTCATCTTGAAGGATTCATTGAGTAACTATTGTAGCCTAGAAATTCCTTCTATGTCATCCCTTGTAATGAGTATATCATAACATAAAGGAGTAATATTGTTACTCCTTGTTTCCGCCTTAGGGTGAACAAGGAGTAATCAGAAGGACTATGAATAAAGCTAGCATCAATGATGACAGATCTGAACTTCTCAAACCAGATCCTAGGAGCTTTCTTCAGGCCATAAAGTGACTTATTCAGACGACAAACAAGCTGCAGATCTGTACAATATCCCAGAGGAGGCTTCATGTAAACTGTCTCTTTCAATTCCCCATGGAGAAAAGCATTCTTGACATCTATCTGATAAATTATCCATTGTTTGACTGCAGACACAACCATCAAAAGTCGTACAGTGGTCATCTTAGCTACCGGAGCAAAAGTCTCCTCATAGTCTATCCCATTTTCCTGTTTGTAACCCTGTGCAACAAGCCTAGCTTTGTATTTGTCTAGGCTTCCATCAGATTTTAGTTTCACAGAATAGACCCATCGGCTTCCTATGAGAGATGTCTCAGGTGGAGCTTTGACTAGGTCCCAGGTGTCATTCTCCAGAACTGCTCGAATCTCAGAATCCATTGCATCTTTCTAGTGTGGTTCTGCTACAGCTTGCTGATAAGATCTGGGAATGTCTGTGGTAGATAAAATGGCAGAAAGGAGCTATGGTCTGGTGAATAACCATAACGGTTAGGTGGACGAGAAATTCTAGAGGAACGGTGTAAAGTAGGAGCAATAGGTTCAGAGGGAAGATCTTGAACACTTACGAGGTAGTTGGAGTGACCGGATCAGTAACTGGAGGTGGAGTAGAGGGGGGGATGGAGACTGAAGAAGGTCGTTGCTTCCTGAAGTAGGTCTGAAGTTGTTGTAGAGGTGACAATGGAGTATCCGGTGTACCTGTAGAATCAAAACTATGCAGCAAGGAAACAAAAGGAGCTGGGAACTTCACAATATGTTCACAAAATGACACACTTTCAAGAAAAACTACATTACGAGAAATTCAAAGACGATGAACCAAAGGGTTATAGAAAAGATACCCTTTATGTTCAGAGCTATACCCTATAAAGGCGCACAAAGCTGCTTGTGTAGTTAACTTTGTGCGTTCATGGGGTGGAAGGTGGACAAAACAAGCACATCCGAATACTCTGAGCATGTATAGGTCTGGGGATTTGTGGAAGAGGGATTGAAAAGGAGAGAAATTGTTCAAGACTGATGACGGAAGACGATTTATGAGATACACAGCAGTGCTGGCCGCCTCCACCCAAAACCAAGAGGGTACGTGGGAATCCTGTAAAAGGGTTCTGACTACACTCAAGATATGCCCATTTTTCCTTTTCGCAACCCTATTTTTTGTGGGGTGCCTGGACAAGATTTTTGGGTTTGAATTTCATGTTGTTTTGGAAATCTCCATCAATATACTCTCCCCCTGAATCCGATCGTAGCACACAAATTTGGGCATCAAATTGAGTGGCAACATAGGTGTGAAAGTGCTGAAATACGGAGTACACTTCAAATTTCTTTCGAAGAAAATAGGTCCAAGTGAAACAAGTGCAGTCATCAATAAAGGTTACAAAATATTTAAAACCCACCCGTGAGACAATTGGAGACGACCAAACATCACTATGTATTAAATAAAAAGGGACTGTTGCATGTTTAGAATGAGAAGGAAAAGGCAAAATATGACTCTTACATAAGCCACAAGTAATGCAGTCTTTATTCACATTTTTAAGAGAAACATTAGAAACAGGTAAACTACTAGAGGAAAACAATTGATCAAGTTTCTTAGAGAAAGGATGGCCCAGTCGTTTATGCCACAAGTGCCAATCTTTATTACAATTAACAGATTCAAAACTAGAAGTAGTAGAAATCAAACATGAAGTAGAAGCAGACAGTTTTATTCTTCTCAAATTCCAATGCAAAGAGTCTTCCCAGTCTACGCCCCTTCCCCTTCACCTCCGCAGTTTGTCGGTCCTATATCAAACAACCATTAGAAGTAAATGAGACATTGTTACTTTCCTCTACAAGTTGGCCAACAGAAATTAAATTGGTTGTAAGCTTAGGTACAAATAGGGTTTTGGACAAATGAAATGGAGATGACTTAGAAGTAGATAAATATAAATCATCACATCCAAGTATATCTAATTTCTCACCATTAGCAGTAACAATGTGTTTTTTTTGGGGAGATGGGGTTTAGGACACTGGCCAAGAGTGGCCCCTGTCATATGGTTAGAGGCTCTTGAGTCAATGTACCATAGATGGTTCGGTGAGGGACAATAGGTAGGAGATTTACCAGACAGGCCCATAGCAAAGAAGGCTGAAGAGATAACAGAGGACATGAGCTGTTGAATTCGTTCTTCAGACATGCAACCTGAGGTGTCATTCTGCCCAGTCATAGAAGTAATAGAGGATTCTACATCTGATCCATCTACACCTGTCTGATAAGCCTTGTAGCTTCCTTTCTTCTGATTTGATCCATTGCTTTTCTGAGGCCGAGTGGGGCATTTAGTGATAATATGGCCAACCTGCTTACAGTAGGTGTATGTATTCTTTTTCTTGTAGTGAGAAACTGTTATGGACGCATTCCTCGGGATGACATACCATCGCCGCTGGCAGCAGCAGAAACCTGACCCACCGCCAGCAGCAGTAATGATTAAGTGATTCTCAGTCTACCCAGTTCGGCAGCAGTAGTCTCATCCAGATTAGATTAGCTTATCTTGCTTGTTCTTATCTTATTTTATTACTCTTATCTTATCTTGTTAGTAAGTTATCAGATTAGGATTAGCTTATCTTATCCTTAGCAAGATAGAACTGGAAGTCTCCCTATTCAACAAGGAGACTCCCTCAGATTAGGACTCTTGTAATCTTGTATTTAAGGAGACACCCTTATTGAATGAAATCA